ATGTACATATATATGTGTGTGTGTTGGCACCTATTATGTATGAGTTTGTTTGTGTGTATGTGTGGGTATGGAAACTTTGGTATATCATGACTGTTTTTATATATGTAAGTATGTGTGCATAAAAATCTGTGTATATATATGTGTGTATTTAGGTTTATATGTATATGTGTGTGCATGTGTACTTGTTATCATAGATATGTATATGTGCGTAGATGTTTATGTTTATATATTTATTTGTATGTATTTCTGTATGTATATGTATGTATGAGTGTATGTATATTATGTGTGTTAATTTGTGTTTGATGCCATGTATGTATATATATATATATATATATATATATATATATATATATATATATATATATGTGTGTATCTGTGGGGTTTCTTTATCCTGTTTTTCTTTGCCTAATATATAATGAAACTATTATCAACTTATATGATTAATATATATTTTTATTGATATTTATGGTTTTGGAATTTTTGTTTTAATATATTAAATAATATTATTTTTAACCATTTTTATCTTTGTATATTTGCTCCCTTAAGTTATAATTTAATAAGTGGTTAGCATTTATTTAATGATACTTTAAGTCTGAAATATTTATTGGTTGTGATATCTGATTGTCTGTGTCATTGTCTGTGGATGTATGTATGTGTATCTATCGGTGTCTATGTGTATGTAGAGTGTATTCACATTTAACTGTGTGTGTGTATAAGTGTTGGTTTCCACGTCTCCTTTTTTTCATAAAGGGCTGTAGAGATGTTCATGTCTGGCCCCCCCCCCCACCTTTTTTTTTAGTGTGTGTGTATGTGTGTGTGTGTGTCTAATTATGTCTGGTGGCTTATGTATTATAATCTTATTTTGTTTTTGTGGTTTTGCGCGTGAGTTTAAGACCAAATTCACACACTTTAAAATAAAAAAGGAAAAGAAAGGGAAAAGAAAAAAATATATATACATGTATTGTCAAATGACAGGATATATTGTAGCGTCTTGTCGAACGTAATTTCAATGAAGAAATGAACTGAATAAACGTATATATGTTTTTCTTTTCTCAATAATTTTGTAGTTTTTAAAATTAATAGTGATTAAACTTGGATTTTAAAATTGCCAGTTTTTAATTTTAATATTAAATTTTATCATATAATTTTATAATTTTTGGTTAGTATAAATTATTTTTAATATTACACGTATTTTAAGATCTGAATAGATATTATAACATGATTTTGTTGTCAAGCTTTTGAATCTTTCTATACTTCGTTTTTGATTGGTTATTCTAGCTTTTGTAACAATGTTTCCCCCTGGTGTAGGATCGTTAATTAATCTGAAACTTTTAAAACCATTTATTTTCTTTTCAACATCATCACTTGATAAGACACAGTGTGTGTTCAAACAAAATGGCTATTTTTGTAGTGATTTTATAACATACTTATGTTATAATTTTTTTATAAAAATTATATATATATATATATATATATATATATATATATATATATATATATATATATATTATACAATGAATCATTCATACAAAAAGTAGATTAGTAAAGTTAATGATATAAATAGCGAAAAACATCTTCGCGAACAATTTTAAAGTTGCATTAGCCTAAGAATCACTCGATGAATGTTATGAGCCTTGTTTTTAATAACTACAAGCTGTATAAGTTCTTTTTTTTTAATCTGCTAGTACTTTCATCTGTACACACAGTCATCCTCAGGCATGGAAATTATTTTGTTTTCAGTAAAATCCAGGTAGCATCATAAACGAAAAACTTAAATGCAAATCGAAATATGTTTTTTTAGAAATGTGTTTTTTAGAAAAGTTTTGGAGCGTGCAGTCGCAATGCTAAGGTTGATTTTTTTACGTTTATTACTAAAATGGTAATTTGAGAATTTTTTTGTTGTAGGAGTTTATCAGTAAATGTGGCATGAACTAAATAGTTCAATAAAAACAAAATAATCTAAGTTTATAATAATGTAAGTTTGGTAATTTTATCATAAAAATATATTTTTATACTTTCATAGTCTTTTGTTTTTGTTTGGGGGTTCACTATTTCCCTATAGTTGGGACCCCAACAGGTGCTACCACCCCCGTGTCAAGGGGGTACCTGCGAACAACAGCAGTTAAGAGGTGGTTCTCCGCTTCTCAAATCCTCCAATCTGCCGATCAGAGGCCTTACTACCGGATGTAGGTTATCGCCATAAATATTAATGTTCATCCAGTACAAGGCCCAAGAGCCATTCAAAGTATAGAGTTAGTGTGTGGAGTTGTATGAGCGTAAGAAATGGCAAAAAGGTCAATTCATCAAGTTATGAAGGAGAGATAACAGTTGACTCTAAACTTGAAGGTGTTAAGATTTTACTGATTGAGAAAAACCTCCTATCAAACAAAGCAGCAGTTTCAGAGAAGTATCTGTTCGGGTACAAATTACTTCTTACTAATGAAATACGAAGATAATTAGGATTATTTCCAATTGTGCATGTACCTGGCATGGCGAGTCTAAGTTGCAAAGGCCAGAGCTAGTGGCACCAAGGAATATAGCGATAGGGTAACGAGAATTTTGTCACGTTCCGACTGTGTGGAAAGGGGTTGTAGGGTGGAAAGTAACTCATCTGTCAAGACCAGCTAGATGCTTTAGAAATCTATCAAGACAAGCTAGTGAGGAATGGTTAGTTCTATCCCAGATATGGTTGCATTACTTCATTTTGCGATTAATCTGGCTCTTGTAAAGACAGAGTATCAGCAATAGGAGTCAGATACAGAACCATTTTCTCAGCATCTACAGAGGATTGGAATTATTTCACTAGCATCGTTTTGTCAGAGTTTCTGAAATGTTGTTGGAAGCGGTAAAGAGAAATCTCCAGCCACAAGAAAGTGTCTGAATGATTAAATTTGTATCATTCTCTCTATGGTAGACGAGGTATTTAGTCAAAAAGGTTTCTTCATATAAATGCTTTCCGGTAATAATAATTTCCGGTAATAATATTTTCCGGTAAAAATAATTTCCGGTAATAATGATTTCCGGTATTAAGCCACAACAGTGAAAATTTAAATCCGTTTAAAAAAATCTCTTCAATATCCTTAATCTGTGTATTAATCATTTTAATTCATTTAACAAGGAGTGATTGAGATATTAAGAGTTAAGCCTCCGTTTATATCGCGAGATTCTGTTCTTTGATTGTGAAAATGCAGTGATATCTTCAGGTTGCAGGCAGTGCACTGTTCAGACTACATCACCCCACTCTCGGCCGTACCGACAAGATGCAAGACAATGCAGGGCATTACATTAGGGGACGGCTTGGTAGTAGAAATTACCGGAAAGTTGACTACATTCACTCAGAGTTTACTGTCTGGATTTACGTCCATACCCTTTCTCGTCTTTGGATATGACCGCAAGGCAGCAGAGATTTAAAACCAGGGTTTTCACCCCCACCAGGTAAACTGCCTTCTTGGGATGTCGAACTCCATCTAACCATAGCAGCTGGTTATGAGGCACCGGTTTACCGCCTGCACCCATTCTTCAGCCTAGAACTGAACTTAGTTGTCAGTGACTAAGGTGCATGCCACGGAAACATTTTATAGTCTCTGGAAGTTTGGCCCCACTGTCACTCCCTGGATTTACTTCCCGGTGTTTTGAATAGGACCGCAAGGTAGCAGAGGTTTAAAAGCAAAGTTTTCCTCCCCCTAGATGAACTGCCTTCCCGGGATATCGAGCTCCACCTACCCCTAACAGTCGGTTATGAGGCACCGGTTTTTCGACTCCACCCATTCTCCGGCCTAGAACTGGACTTAGTTGTCAGTGACTATTTAAGATGCATGCCACAGAAACATTTTATAGTCTGTGGGAGTTTGCACCCACTGTCACTTCCGGCCATGATTAACTATTTTTTTTTAAATATTTAAAACGTTAGGTAAATAAAAACAGTAGAAAGCAAGAAAAATTAAGAAATAGTTGTGTAATGATAAACTAAAAGAGATATTGAAAAATTTGTTCGTCTTAAAAAAGGTAGCAGAAAGAAAATATAAATCGTCATTTAAGCCGATAATAATTGGAGATTACGAAGTCATTGTTTAACATAGAATAAAATAATTTATACAGTTTTATGTGATACACACTGAGACGATTATCAATATTGCGATACATGAATAATGCCTCGAGGGCACATGGCAGTGGATAAAGGCGTTAGTTAGATCCAGTGACAAGACTCAAAGTTCAATACCCGGCAAACTTTCAGAGGGAAATTAACAGGAGATAGCTCACATCCATTAAACATGGCACGTGGAACTAGAACAGTATACATCAGTGAGCGAAATAAATGGTTCAGTTCGATATTCCAACCACCTGAAGAAGGCCGGAGCGTACAACGGCCGAAGCTTTGTAATAAATATGGCAACAATTGTCTGAATAATGTAAGTATTGCAAATTTCCTTTAGAAAAACGAAAAAAAAAACAGAAACAGTTGTCTGGAGAAACGTTTTATTCCCATTACATGTATATATTTTTATTAGTCAAGATCAATTACAATTATTTGTACGGATGAAAAGAAACGTCTTTATAAATCTTTTCAGGATGCTCAATGACATTCAGCTGAAACCTCCTCTAGCATTGAGTTCAAATTACATTCAGATAAATGACTTTGTTTATTTTTTTTCTTATGGTATTATGGACAATATGCTGTTTAGAACTCTTCTGCTCTCTGCTAATATCTGATAGTGTTTTCTTTGAATTGTGATGATTTAATATTTTCTTTATTTGTTTCAATTATGAATCTAGTTTCCTCATTAAGAACAAAAATAAACATTTTTGAATAATTCTTTCCATGTTAGAGAAGGTACCAGACAACTGGATATATTTTGCTATATATATATAAATAGATAGATAGATATTTCTATCCGGTCTTCTTGAGAACGGAGATGAGTAATAATGAAGAGGTAGCGATTAAAAAAATACTTAGAATAATATGACGAATGAGGCATTAGCTTCATTTGAGACATCCATATTTACTGCATATTGTGAGTGTCGATGGGATGTTCATCCAGACTGTCAACATCATCTCCCTTTATTCGGATTAGAGTGGGATCTGAAACAAACAAATGGTTTGCAAGGTGACATTGCATCATAGCACAAAAATAGCCGAGATCGAAAAAGAAAGACAGACATTTCGTGAAAGAAAGATAAACTAGATATGCCAATATCTATATTTCTGAGATGAAGTATTTTAATTATTCACACTATTTACATTGTTCGATCTGTTGTTTTCAGCTTCGTTGCCTTATTCACGGCGTTTCGGTACGCTACGGCTTTCTTCATGATCTGTCTATTTTTCTGAGATGAAGTATTTTAATTATTCACACTATTCACATTGTTCGAGCTGTTGTTCTCGGCTTCGTTGCCATATTCACAGCGTTTCGGCCGTTGTGTGCTCCGCTCTTCTTCAGGTGATTGGATCTCTGACTGGAGGTATTATGATTACTTGCATTATTTACATTATTCAGACTGTTATCCTCATCTTCATTGCTATATTCACAACGTTTCAACCGTTTTGTGCCACGGCTTTTTTTAGGTGATTGGAAATTCGAAACCTTTATTTCATCCACTGGGGTAGATTGATCTAGTTACACGTGCCATGCCTCTTCTAAAGGTCTAAGTATTAGCAATCTCCCTTCTAACTCAGCTCCCCAAGTTCTTGTTCACCTCTGCTGTCGCTAGGTATTGAACTCTCAAATCTGTGTCACGACACTGGATTCAACCAACGCTCTTATCCACTGGGCATATACATCGACATGTGCCGAGAGAAAATTTATTGAACAAAAGATAGATAAACAGAAAATCACTAATATATATATATATATATATATATATATATATATATATATTAACGTTTATCTATCTATGTCCATAAATTATATATATATATATATATATATATATATATATATATATATATGCATTTGATTACTTCCGTGAAAAAAAATACGCTATATTTAGCTAGCTCGTTCTGTCGAGTGGTAAAAATTCTGATTGACACCAAATCAGTTGGGTTTCAATCCTGGCTTGAGGCATTCGTATGTCTAGTCACACTTAGGAGCTGTGATACAGCGAAACAGTAATCTCTGCTAATGACACACTCACATATATATATATATATATATATATATATATATATATATATATATATAATGAGCGGACATAGATAGATAGACACTTATATATATATATATATATATATATATATATATATATATAGGATTGTTAATTAATTTGAAACTTTTAAAACCATTTATTTTACATTCAACAACATCTTGATAAGACACCGAGGGTGTTGAAACAAAATGGCTATTTTTGTAGTGATTTTATAACATATTTATGTTATAATTTTTTTAAATAAATAATTATATATATATATATATATATATATATATATATATATATATCAAACCAGAAACCTCATATATCTCATCAAATCGTGAAAGATTAAATGGTATAGAGAGGAACATCATTCCACTTTCATCCTGGCATTCACGCCTAAGACCAGCCACGCCACGCCACTCACATTGTAGCCGACTACCTTCATTCAATTCGTATTTCATCGATGAGATGTAAATTCCAAACTTACAGCTTTTACCTCCGAAACGCTATTTTGCGGAACTAACTACTAGGAACACACATACATTTTACTCTGTAACTCTCGGCCACGAGCAGTTCTTGGGGCTTGTACAGAGTTAATATTGCAATAAATTATTATTAATACCTATGCAAAGTTCGTGAAGTTATTACTCTTCATAAATTAAAGCTGGTAGTACATATATATATATATATATATATATATATATATATATATATATATATATATATATATATATATTATATCAAAAATATATTTACAAAATTTGACGGTTGGTTTCTCACACCAAAAGAAGGACAAAATTTCATATAAACATATGTCTGCAAATCCTTCGTTTTTGAGTTATTTAGATTAAAGAAAGTTTATAGTAGATGACGCTGTATTGCTATATAGACTAGGTTGCATTTGCCATTCGTGTATATTTGTGGCTAGTTTGTCTTCAACGTTTAACGTTAACTGAGAAGTGGCAGGGTATTCATATTGGGAGCAGGCAGATATGATTTTTACATAGGCTGCGCAAATGGTAATGGTCGAAAGGTTGTACGGCTGTATCAGATTGCGTTTATAGACCAACGGAAGCCAAGTCATTAAATCTTTGCTGCTGTCCATCGTCGTGTTGTTGAGACATTATTCGTGGCACTATGGTTAGAGGAAGACCAAGATCCGCTCGTACGTGGTCACGAAGAATACATTTTACAGGCTATTGGAGACGCTCCGAGTATCAGCACACGTCAAGTGACCCTAGTACATCTCATAGTAACACATGGTGAGTACTTCAAGAGCAGCTCCTGCATTAGTTTTATTTACTCTTCAGTCTTGTTTACAGGTGAAGTAACATTTGGAAAAGATGGAATAAAAATTTACACAAGCAACATTTGTTGGTGGATTGTAATCCCCACGTAACAATACAGGCTACACTCCAGAATCAGTTTATGACTTTTGTGTGTATGGGAGCTGTAAATGACTCACTGGTAGGTCCATATGTTCTCCCAGCACCTTTTACTGGAGCTGTGTACAAGGATTTTATTCCGAACATATGTCCAAACCTGCTAGAGGATGTACTCCTGCTAACACGAAGACGCTTGTGGCTCATGAATGATGCGGCTCCAGCACATTTTAGGAATATAGTTCGTCATGCATTTTCTGATATCTGTGTATGAGTAGAGGAGGACCTGTTCCATAGCCTACACGTCCCCCCAACCACAATCTGATGAATATCTATCTGTGCTGCCACCTAAAACAATTGGTTTATGCAGCAGACATTAATAATGCAGAGACGCTTGATGAACGTGTCATGGGGTCTGCGAAACCATTCGACACTGTAGTTAAAAGTGTCCGCCAGTCAACGATCCGACGAGTGCGTGTGCTTCCCAATCAACTTTGATCTTCAAGAAAAAATAAATGCAATGTCCATCGTTATAGTTCTCTTCTTAATTCCTGTTCTTTCTCTCCTTATTAGTGTTATTAGTTGTTTTCCTATTCTCTATAACTCTATAACCCTGAGAGGCTTTATTGCTTTACTTCGGGTGAAATAATTAAAAAAAAAGAAAACAAATTAAATGACTTAAGACTTATACCTTTGTGAAAATTAATTGAAACAACAACTTTAGTTTCCTTTCTTTCACCATACGGTCAGCTTTAGAACCACTGGAATGACATAGTGTAATCGAATTCTATTTTTCTCCAGAAAGATTATTTGCAGTGGTGTGCACTAATATGAATTTTTGGGTGTAGGATGAAATTTGTTTGGACTTGAAATATATTGCAACTGTGATTGCATCAGATTTTTATCACGTCTAGACACTATTGTTTCGACTGTCCATTAGTTGTACTACAGCCATTGTCTACGATGGACGTTACTTCAAGGAAGCGTACGAAACTTGTAACGTTACACGAACACACTGGCAAACCAGTGAGGAAATCAAAGTACTATAGACTGACTCGGAAACCTTCCTGATTTAAATCCAATCGAGTATCTGTGGTCAATCTGTATATCTGAAATACACTCATTTACTGTGTTCTTACCGTTTCCAACTCTCTCCTTCAACATACAATAGCCATATCCGGTAGGTAATTTGTTAGTTCCTATCTTCCTGTAACATTTTGGATGTGGATTTTGGTTGGCAACATCACCGGCACCTTTAAGAAAATACAAACAAAATATAAATAAAGCAATAGAAAAATTCATCAGTTTTAAATAAATTTATACATAACACATCAAATTGTATTTAACCCTGGGTATTACGATAAACGACATCCGGCATCGAGGCCTCTGAACGAGAGATTCAAGGTTTTGAGCAGCGTGGGATGATTTTGTTTTTAATTTCTCTTGTTACCAAGTCCAATCTGACCCGGGGGGGTAGCAGTGTTATGGTCTCAGCTATAGGCAAATAGTAACCCGCACCAAACAAAACAAAACTATGAAAGTACAAAAATGCATTTCTATAGTAAAAATACCAACAATATATATATATATATATATATATGATTTACATTATTCGGATTATTGTCCTCATCTTTGTCGCCATCTTTATTACAACGTTTTGACCGTTGTACGCATCCGGCCTTCTTCAGGTGGTTGGAATGTCGAACTGAACCCTTTATTTTGCTCACTGGGGGGAGACTGTTCTAGTTTCACGTTTAATGGATGTCACTTACCAATTATCTCCTGTTAATTTCCCTCTGAAAGTTCTCCACTGCCTTAACCCAGTATTGAACTCACACACTTTGGGTCCTGTCATTGGATCTAACTAACGCCTTTATCCACTGTGTCATGTGTCCTTGATAACTGTCGTCCATTAAACTGATTAATTTTTAAATTTTGGATTTAATTATGGTTGCGTATATTAGTGTTTTAGGAATAGTAGATGTGGCTAGAATAACGTAGTCTGATCGAACCTGTATTTCTCATACCTTGACTGCCTTTTTATTTTATGCGCCGTGTCACTTCAGGACGTTGGTGAGCATGACTCTCCAAAATGTTCACTCCTTTGTAGCGCTTAATAAATTATGCTAAAGACTATTGTGCCATCCATTTACTCAATTTCCTTATGTAAGCTGTGCGTTGTTTTCCTCAGTCCCTCTTGCCTTCTATCTTTTATTGATTGTCTTCTATGCGCCATGTCCCTTCAGGTCGTTGGCGATCATGGCTACGCATAATTTTGCTGTCTTTTTCTTAATAAATTTTCCTTTCGTTGTTACCTGCTAGACACTGTTCTACTATTCATTTACTCATCTCGTTAGGTGAATTAGACTTTATTTCCCCTAGTCTCTCTTGCATTCGATCTGCTCTGTGAGTATCAAACTTTCCAAGCCCTCTTTTATTAATTTGTTCTCTAGAATTTATAATTGTCTTTTTTCTGTGGTTAGTCTACTCTTTATTTCCATTTTCTCTAAAGTTTCGTCGTTGCTCACGGGGTTGACTGACCCTCTTGTATCATATCTGGGTGTACAAATCGACCTCAAGATTTTTATCTCAAGATTCTCAATTAGGCTTATACTTAACGAGCCCTAAACATATGATCATCTACCAGTAGCCCAAACCTTAATCCTGTAGGTAAATGAAGTTAGGCTACAGTAAACTGCCATTCTTTCTATTTATATACCATGGTTTTTTCAGGATGTAGGCGATCATGGCTCTCCACCTCCTTCTATCCCTTGCAGCTCTCAACCAGTTCCTTCCCTCTGCTTCCTCCTCCAGACCATGTTCTGTCATTTACTTGCTTAAGTCCGCTAGGTATATCACGCATTTTTTCCCTTGTCTTTCTTTCCCTCTATCCAACCCCTGAGTATCAGATTCTCCAAGCCCTCCTTCCTCATTATGCGTCCCAGAAATTTCAACTGCCTCTTCCTGATGTTAAGTATAAGCCTCCTCCTTGTTTGCACCCTAAGATCTCATCGTTTCTCACACGTTCGGTCCATGATATCCTCAGCATCCTTCTGTAGAACCACATTTCTGCAGCCTCTAGTTTTTTTTTTTTGAGGAAATCGTCCAGATTTCACATGCATTTCAGAAATTACTACTAATAATTTTTTTCACTGAGTTTTGCGAGACAATTCTGTTCTCCAGAATCTATCGTACATATCTGTAGACCTACCATTCGTCAATGATTTGAATATTGCTACCCCATATGGTCCCGTGCTATTTCTATATATTTAGGGATTTTTGATAAAATCTAAGGAAGAATCAGCAATATTATTAGTTCTGACCTGGCATCTCGGCTTCAGTCATTTTCCCACCGCCGTAAAGTTGCTTCGCTGTGCCTTTTCTATAAATACTTTCATGGTTACGATCTTCGATAGGGTACCTAGACTTTATTAATTTAAGCCCAGTACGAGATTGAGAACAAACTCACATAAATTTACAGTTGAATTAGAAAGTTGTAAACATAAGTTCTATGCTAACAGTTTCTTTTCTTAAATTTCCCGCTTGTTAAATCTCTTCTGGCTTCACTCTTTCCTGTCAACTTTAATATTCAGAAATTTAAATGCAATGTCAACCGTTATCTAATGTCTTCCTGGTTGCTCTTCTATTGTTCTCGCTCCTTAATAATGTTTCTCTTTTTTCATTCTTTCCCACTCAGTAACCACATATCACTTAGTGGCTTCACTGCATTGCTTGGGTTGAATTCATTTTATTATAGTTTTATTGTAGCCCTGAAATGCTCTAAATTTACATGGGAAATAATCTGGCTTTGCAAGCATGCAATTTGCCTATTATTACTCGGATTTGATATTTGATAATCTCCTACTCGTTGGTGTCTTTGTCGATTCATGAGAACATCCCCTTTGCAACCAAAGAAGATTTATTGCCTTTAATCAACTGTTCTCTGTGTTTGTTTTTAATGAGGAGATTTCACGGGAAATAACGAAGCAACCGTACTAAACTTATTAAAATTAATTGCCGCTCATATCTATAAATATACCATTCATCCCTGTATTGAATATTGCTGCTATAACTGGTTTGTAGTCTCTGTAACACACACAAACACAAACACACACCCATATATATATATATATATATATATATGTGTGTGTGTGTGTGTGTGTGTGTGTGTGAACATTTCTCAGAGTTAACCTGTAGAAAAGACAATATTTATAAATATAAATGACAATAGGAAAACTGATAGTTGCCGATGCGTTTCGTCCAACGTGGACTTTCTCAAAGCAAAAAGCGAAATGAATTTATTTAAACAAAGTAACTAATAATAACAAAAACAAAATGTCCATAGCAACTGGAAGAATTTAGAGAACGCTATTTTCAAAAACTGTTCCTCCCAATATATTGGAGAAGCAAGTAGAAATTAAAAAAAAAAAAAAACGTATTTATGAGCCCAAAAGAGACCTCACAAAAAACTTAGCTAATGCACGAGTCATACATAGAAATAAATTCAAGCACAATTTTGATTTTAAAAATGCTACACTCATAAAAAAAAAGAAAATAACTCACTCAGAAGGAAAATTCTACAGAGTTCCGCCATTGAATATTACCCAAATATTAATCTACCCCCAAGTTTTTTCCCTATTTCACCTTTCTTAACAAAATTACTGCTCTCCCAAACAAACGTATGCAACAATATCGTAAAATCAAAAGAAAATGGTTGAATCCGTCAACAAAGCAATAATAAAAATATCTCCACACGTGACAGTAATTAACGTAATGTTCAGTTAATAGTATGAAAATAGCGTTCTCTAAATTCTTCCAGTTGCTAAGGACTTTTTTGTTTTTGTTATTATTAGTTACTTTGTTTAAATAAATTAATTTCGTTTTTTGCTTTGAGAAACTTCATAATTTGCCTATTTATATATATATATGTATATATATATCTATATATATATATATATATATATATATATAGTTGTAGAGTGGATAAAAGAAATGGCCAAATATAAGCAGAAGTATACGCGTGTGGTGGTGTGCATACACACGCAAGCAAATAATTAATCGTTAAATTTATGTATGGGGTGTAAACGTATTAGTGCCCAAAGCTGTTATATAGAGCAAATATATGTATTAATTAGTACATATACTCGTGCCTACGTTTTTGGCGTGCGATCATAGTTTCACTGGGTGGTGTCACCAGTTAGTCAGAGATCCCCTACCCTCCAGCTATGGGTTCTATAGTCTTGGATGTAAATTGGTCTAGGAGAGTCGTTTGGGAACCTTGTGGCCCGTACTGCACCAGATCTCTGTATTCGACCCTTCAAAAAGTGTGGATGATTCTGCACAAAACCTTCACCACTATAATCAAATCATATGTGCTGCTGTCGGTTCCTAAGAACTGAGCAGTTTGACCGTCATACGTTGAATACGACGAGAGATTATTTTATATATATATATATATATATATATATATATATATATATATATATATATATATGTGTGTGTGTGTGTGTGTATTCTAGACTAGAATAGTAGAATGAATATATATATATATATATATTTTAATTGTGTTTATAAACAGTAAAATCAACCATGCTCAGCGAACGCTCGTCTGTGGTACAATCGCTTAAGGCACGCCAGACTATATGACCGTTCCGTCTATTATACAGGTTCGATTCCTGTCGAACGCATGAGGACGCATATTTCCTATGAAAATTTCTCGGACATTCAGACCGGTAAATGTTGTTAATACTGTTTATTATAAACAGACCATTTACTTAAACATTTTTATTTATACAAAGAACGTATAAATATAAAAAATGTCTTAAAAATGCATAAATACATACATTATATATATATATATATATATATATATAGTATTCCATGCAGGGATGAATGGTAGATTTGTAGATATGAAGGATGGATTCGGGCGAGGAAAACCTTCTGGTGCGACACAGAGAACCAACCTTCCTTGCAGAAGATGTAGCTATTGATTCAATGTAGCTGTTCCACCTCAGATTAGTGGAAAACGTGAGACCAAGAAAACGCAGTGAGGCGTACTCAGGAAAACATGATCAATAACGGGGAGAGAAAGTTTGCCCATATAAACTGAGTAGGGATCTATTGCAACACTGTATTTTCACTCTCACTGCCCACACGGTCTCTATTTTCAGAATTTGTTTTACCTCCACTTACCGTAGAAGAAGCAGTCATTGTCCTTGTTGCAAGGAACATTTAATCTGCATTTGTGCTCGTAGCAAAGAGCTGTTTTGCCTGGGCATTCCAAAGAGATGGTACAGGCTCCATTGTCCTAATAAAAAGAAATTAAATATGTTAATCGGAGTAAGTTATAAAAACTGTAACAGATTTAAAATAATTCTTCGTATTAAAAACCCTGATATTTTTTGTTTTAATTAGTAATATTACAGCCAACAACCACCTAATTTCAAAGATTTTAAAATAAGTGTTGTTTTGAACGCCTGTTGCGACTCATTTTCGCCCAAAACTTTACAATAATATTCACCTTGGACAAAACTCAAGAGCTCCTCAAGGTAGAGGGTTATAGAATCTTTATATATAAAAGGGAGGATGTGTGTGTGTGCGTAACGAATGCACGGCCGCAATTTTCGACGGATTTGCACCAAAATTACATGCACATGCTCCAAGTTAGCGGAAAGGCCAAGACCGACTTTGCATTTCCCAACTTCCATCGATAGTTGATATAATCGATTTTTTCGTGTTTCTACGGCAGTTTTCATGCCATTTTGTACTGGCCAGAGTGAGAGCCAATAGCTGGCTGCCACGAATAGGTAGATAGATTCTATTGGCCAACGTGAGAATGTACATCAGGGTACTGTGGACGTTTTGAAAATGGTGCATAAAGCCTCTCTTTCATATTTAGCAAGGTACAAGTCAAATATTAATGTCAGATAAATTAGTTTTTTGAATACCGTCGTCAAATAGCTAAAAGGAGATTTTTTGATGATTGATTCGTTTACTACAGCTTATCTAACCTTTGAGGGTTTTTTAAATCCCAAAATTATTTTTAGATTGTAAAAATTTTGGGACATATGGTGAGATGATAATGGTGTAGTGATACATGTTTTACTAATTACGAGGTGGTCTCATGCCTTTCAAAATGCGATTTGCGCGTAAAGTGAATATAACGAACGAAACGGAAATTTGAACTTGGCTCTCCTATTGAAAATTAAGAGCCATTATCCATTACATCACCCACATTTTCAAACCTACAACACTTGGTATTTCCAAACGCTCACCCATCTAGGTACTGAACAGGTTCGGCGTTGCTTAACTTAGGGGATCCTATGGGAACCGCTGTTTAAACGTAATATACCCGTAAGCGAAAAAGTCGTAATGTTGGTGTGAATTAAAGTGTTTTATTTGTTTATCGGAAATAAACTGAAACTTATTTGAATAAAATTGAACTTTTGAAACTTAAACATTTTTTTTTCTAACATTGGCCTTTTCATTTGATGTTTAAAAATTTAACCTGATCATGCTGAAAAATAAGTTTTCTTTTTGTTTTTCAAAGTAAACGCTGTTTTTCAAATTGAACTATGGATTCCTTAACTTCTTCCTCTAATTAGTTGTTTTTTGTGATATTTTTGTAATTAATATAAAAATATAATCGTTAAACATGAATTTAATGACAGAACACAAATAACAAAGGCTTCCGGCCACATCATATTGAAACTCTGTTTCCCATAAAATTATCGAAATTAAGCAACGTCGAGCTTGATCAGTACATAGATGGCTGACCGTTTGATAATAACAAGTGCTGTAAGCGTGAATATGCGGGGGGTGTAATACGTAACAGCTCGGTCTTGTTAATCGGAGAACCGTGTTTCAATTACCGTTGTGTTCACTTAAAGCGCAAAAAACCTTGGGAAAGGTATGAATTCAGGTTTTCCTCTGTCAGTTATGGTTAATTAATAAAACTTTTATCACTAAACCATTATTATCTAAACAAAAACAAAAAAAACATCTTACAATCTAAAAACATTTTCTGACTTTAAATGCAATCGGTTGATAAGACATAAAAAGAATCAAATAATCAAGAAAAAATAGCAAATTTGTCACGTTTTAATATATAGTTTACCATCCCAATTTACTCCTATTCCTAAACTTGAATAACTTCCTTTAAAAGATTTTTTACGTTTGTTTCATGTAACACAGAAAATTATTTTCTATAGCCGCCTAAAATTGTTTAATCCTTTTAGCTCTGCGTTCCTGAACAATTTTAATCCTCCTACCTGAGCACTTGAGTCAAAATTCGCAAGTAGATGTTATGTTATGTTTCACGGTAGATATAAAAATATTTCCAAGTATTTACCTACCATGCAACTGGTATCCGGGCATTATGTCATATTTCTCTACCACTGTTCAACCGGTGGGTCATTTTCTCTACCACCGGGAAAGCGGTGGTCAAGGATCAAAAGGTTTTAAACCTCTAGTATCGCATTTTTTTGTAGGCGACTATATATATATATATACATATATATATATATATATATATATATATATATATATATATATATATATATATAATTAGAAGAAAAAGGTTCACGTGTGCTTTTTTATAGCATGTAAATTAGATAGATGGCCAGTTGAGTTAAAGGGAAATAAGACAACCGGACGAGGCGATCTCTAAATATCCGTGTTCCGATGCAGTTCCATTTTTGAATCTTTGTTTACTAGCATTTGCGAATGGTTAGACTGGAATCTAGCAACACGAAAAACGTCCAAACGAATGCGGAATGTAGTTTTTATCAACCGAGATAAGATCTTATAAACTCGTTGTAAATGCCTGCATGAAACGTTAATCGAGAAAAGTCTTGGAATGCATCGGTTAAATGCAATCTGCCAAATGTAATATTATTCTCATCGTTCATAAAATGAATAAGTATTCTGCAAATTCCACTGAGGAAATCGTAATCTACGAAAGAAAATAATGGATTTATTTGTAAAATTAATTTATATGAAGATGTCAGAGATCAGTGAAGAGATCGTCGTAAAAATAGGCCGCACGATTTTATACCATCGAGGCGATTAAGGCTTTTCACAGCTTCCTATCTTTTGTACGGCCAATTAATGTTAATCGAAATACTATCTTTCCTAGTCCATGTTCTACCAACTATTTACACAATGTCGTTCTTCATTTATGCGCCATGTCTCTTTACGACGTGGGCGATCATGGCTCTCCACAATTTCATGTCTTTTGGAGATCTTAATTTTGTCTTTTTGCTATCTCTTAACCCTTTGACCCCTGCGTTCCTGAACAATTTTAAACCTTGGTATAATTGGTATGTAATATTTCACGGTAGATATAAAATAGTTACAAGTGTTTACCCACCGTTCAACCGGTGGCTAAGGCATTACGCAATTTTACTCTACCACCGATAAAGCGGTGGTTAGGGTATTACGTAATTTTTCTCTACCACCGATAAAGCGGTGGTCAGGGCTCAAATGTTTAAGATTCAATGTCCCTGTATTCAAGCAATTCACTCTTGAGTAAAGACTAGAAAAATAATTAATTAATTTAAATGAGAGACAAAATCAGTTGTGCAAGTGATTATGATTTGATGCATATCAATGTTCATATACAACGGAATGCTATCGTAAAGAATGAACAAAATAAAATTATCTGAGACTTTGAAAGTTATCACCCAACCGAGGCCAAAAGACAAGATTTGTTTTATGTGCCGTACTCTTCTCTAGAAAGTGCGAAATCGTGTTAAGTTCTCCAGTACATTTCACTCAACTAGTGAAAAAACAATGCTACAAGACGTGTGTACATACCAAATTTATATAAAGTGGTTATCTCGTTTAACTTCCTACACATAACGCTAAAAAAGAAGAATATTTATCAGAAGGTGGATATCGCTATTCAGATTAACTCAAGAGAAGAAAAAAAATGAAAGAAGCAGAAAATCTAGAAAGTCATCAAGACCTTCTTGGAGAACCGGAATCATTATGGTATAAAATGATAATTACGACTCTTTATTATTTGCGCACCTTGAACATTCCTCGAGGAGGTTTCGTTAATGGACTGAAAATAATGGAACTTGAGATGTTAGTGCAATTATTATTTGACAGAATATTACGAAGAAATGTTTTGCAATGGCTGTGCGTCATGAGTTGTTTAGTCATGACTCCCTGTTATTACCCCAATTTATATAATGTTAATAGTAACAATAATACTTACTCTTAATAACCGACTCAGGAGACTGTCTATATCAGCATTGACAAGATAGCATAGCACCTGAAAATTAAGTAGTAATATAGAATCGTTAATAACGTAATTTAAAAAGCTCAAATATGTAAAGGAAATAAGAAAAGTGCAAAATGTTTTTCATTCTGCTCCAACATTTCCCGCAAATACAATTTTACACGCTTTTTTTTTTTTGTATTTTTGTAGCTTTCTTAAATCATTAAACACATCTCTCCTTCTTTCCTCACTTCGGTAACTTTGCTGGCAATGTGCGTAAATAATCATAATAGGCAGCTGATGTCTTCAGTTATTGTGCGTGTGTGCGGTGGTGTGTGCTAACCAATTTCACATAGAGCACAATTTCTCTTATCCTAGACATAATCCCCAATCCATACTTTAACAATAGTGTCATAGTGAAAAAGTACGATACTTACTGAAATAATATCAATAATAATAATAATAATAATAATAATAATAATAATAAATAATGATAATAATGATAATAAAATTGAAATAATAATAGTAATGATAATAATAATAATGATAATAAAATTGAAATAATAATAGTAATGATAATAATAATAATAGTAGTTGAAATAATAATAGTAATGCTAATAATAATAATAATAAATAAATTTCAAATATTAATAGTAATGATAATAATAATAATAAATTGAAATAATAATAGTAATGATGATAATATTAATAAATAAAATTGAAATAATAATAATAATAATAATAATAAATTGAAATAATAATAGTAATGATGATAATAATAATAAATAAAATGGAAATAATGATAATAATAATAAATAAAATTGAAATAATAATAATGATAATAATAATAAATAAAATTAAAATAATAATAATGATAATAATAAATGAAACGGAAATAATAGTAATAATAATATAATAATAATTAATTAATAAATAAAATTGAAATAATAATGATGATGAATTCACAAATAAAATTGGAATAATAATAATAATAATAATAATAATAATAATAATAATAATAATAAACTAGCAAGAGGAGTAAATGTAAGAACTAGAAAAGGCAGAAGAGTCGAAAGAAAATACAATATCAGGAATGAAAATGAAGTCCTATCAACTAAAGAAAAAATAAAGCAAACAATACAACTGAAGGCTCAAAGAATAAGACGCTACGAGAAAAGATCAAGATTCTATAGACAGAACAAGATCTTTCAAACCGATGCAAAGAAATTTTACAGGAAATAGGTAAACAAAGAATTGAAGTGACAGTCCCCCTAAAAATGGAAGAAGTTATACAGTTCTGGGGAAAAATATGGGCTTGCCCCTAAAGAACACAACGAAGAGGCAGATTGGATTGCGCAAGAGTTAGAACGAATGAAAAAATAAACCAGAACAGACATGGGCGGGAATCACAGAAGAAGATGTTAAATGTGCACTGAAAAAAAGCACACAACTGGAAATCTCCAGGAATAGATAAAATTCTAACTTCTGGCTATATTATTTAAATACAGCACACAAAAAAACTCGCCAAAGAACTTCAAGAAATGGTTACCGATCCAACTAAAATTCCTGCATGGATGACCAAAGGAGTTACCTTTCTTCTACCCAAAATAGTGACACAAATATTCCGAAAAACTATAGACCAATTACATGTCTTCCAACAACATACAAACTGTTAACATCTATTTTAACAAAACAGACATATTTCTTCTTGGAAAGAAATGACATACTACCACTTGAACAAAAAAGGGTGCAAACGAGGCTGCTACGGATGTAAAGACCAATTACTTATTAATAGGATGATCCTGGAAAACTGCTTCCGTGAAAAAAAAATCTTAGTATTGCCTGGATAGATTATCGTAAAGCATTCGATAGTGTACCACATTCCTGGATCTTAAAGTCTTTAAGTATGTACAAGGTATCACCCGTTATCATCAATTTCATCAAACAATGTATGTCGATATGGAAAACTACACTTTACCTCAATCATAAAAATGGAACCTATAAGTCTGGCGAAATAAACATCAATAGAGGAATATTTCAAGGTGACTCTTTGTCTCCTTTATTATTTTGCATATCACTTATAGCATTAACCAGCCAACTTAACAAGACAGAATGCGTTTACAAAATAGCTCAAAAAGAAAATAAACCATCTATTTTACATGGATGACTTAAAATTGTATGCTAGGAATGACAATGAGCTGGAAGGTCTTCTGCAAACTGTAAAATGCTTCAGTGAAGACATCGGAATGAAATTCAATTTGGATAAAAACAAAAAAAGCTACAGTTTTACGAGGATCGCTACAACAAACTTCCTCTATTAGTTTAGACCCTGCTGTAACAATAAAAGATTTAGAACAAGGAGAAAATTTATAAGTACCTAGGTGTAAATGAGAGTGAAGGAATTCACCATAAGAAAATGAAAGAAATAGTGCGTAAAGAGTACTATAGAAGGGTACGACTGGTATTAAAAACTGAATTGAATTCTCAGAACAGAATTATGGCCATTAATAACCTAGCCATCCCAGTGGTCCAATATAGTTTCAACATCTTGAACTGGACTCTAAATGACATCAGACAAATGGATTCTAAAACAAGAAAGCTTCTTTCTAAGTATAAGATGCATCATCCAAAGGCTGATGTAGACCGTCTATACATACCCCGTAAAGAAGGTGGAAGAGGTCTTATTCAGCTAGAATTGTCATACAAGACAACAACTATTGGCTTACTAACTTACATGGAAACAACAAATGACTGGATGATAAAATTAGTGAAACAACATGAAAACAGAAAGAAAAAATATTCAATAAAAAAAGAAGGCAGTAAATACAAACAACATTTACATTTAGTAGATTCTGTAGTAAATCAAAACAGAAGCCAAGAACCAACTATTGCAGCAAAAGATATGAAAAAAAGCCAAGGATAAAGCCCTTGAACAGATGAAACAACGCTGGCAAGACAAACCTCTGCATGGCCAATATCCAGAACGTGCAAATAAACCCAATGTTGATAAAGTTAATACTCATCGATGGTTACGAGCATCTGGATTAAAGTCTGAAACTGAAGGCTTTTATTCTTGCAGCGCAAGACCAGAGTCTTTTTCACTAGGAATTTTCAGGCAAATATCATACATAATAATGTGGATCCAAAATGCAGGTTCTGTGACAAATACCAAGAAACAATAGACCATCTAATCTCAGGATGTTCTATACTTGCCCCAAATGAATATAAAAATCGTCACGATAGGTGGGGCAATACTTACACTGGACAATGTGCAAACACTTTTGGAAAATGTGTAAGCAAACACTGGTATGAACATCGGCCAGCGCCGGTTACAGAAATAGAAGATGTCACCATTCTATGGGATTATACCATCCACACAGACAGAAAAATTGAAGCAAATAGGCCGGACATTATTGTCAAAAACCAGAAAGAAAAAACTTGCCTACTAATTGATATAAACATCCAGCGGATTGTAACATAGCAACCAAGGAATTTGAAAAACTATCAAAATACAAAGACCTGGAAATTGAAATAGAAAAAATGTGGAAATTGAAAACAAGAATAATACCAGTGGTAATAGGTGCACTTGGAATTATAAAAAATGGAACAAAACAACACATTGAAAGAATCCCTGGAAACCCCAGCTTAAGAGACATACTGAAAATTGTCTTATTAAGTACAGTACACACACACTAAGGAGAACTTTGTCTATGTAACGCTAGCAACTTCATCGGAGATAAAAAAAAAAAAAAAAAAATTAACCTGAAATGTGGCCATAACAACACACCACGACCTGCCTTAGGTCTTTCCCGCAGACTTGGTAGGTAGTGTGTCCATAACGAAATCGAATGATGATGATGATAATAATAATAATAATAAGTGTAAATGAGTGAAGGAATAATAGGTGTAAATGAGAGTGAAGGAATTCACCATAAGAAAATGAAAGAAATAGTGCGTAAAGAGTACTATAGAAGGGTACGACTGGTATTAAAAACTGAATTGAATTCTCAGAACAGAATTATGGCAATTAATAACCTTGCCATCCCAGTGGTCCAATATAGTTTCAACATCTTGAACTGGACTCTAAATGACATCAGACAAATGGATTCTAAAAAACAAAGCTTCTTTCTAAGTATAAGATGCATCATCCAAAGGCTGATGTAGACCGTCTATACATACCCCGTAAAAGAAGGTGGAAGAGGTCTTATTCAGCTAGAATTGTCGCCAAGACAACAACTATTGGCTTACTAACACATGGAAACAACAAATGACTGGATGATAAAATTAGTGAAACAACATGAAAACAGAAAGAAAAAAATATTCAATAATAAAAGAAGGCAGTAAATACAAACAACATTTACATTTAGTAGATTCTGTAGTAAATCAAAACAGAAGCCAAGAACCAACTATTGCAGCAAAAGATATGAAAAAAAAGCCAAGGATAAAGCCCTTGAACAGATGAAACAACGCTGGCAAGACAAACCTCTGCATGGCCAATATCCAGAACGTGCAAATAAACCCAATGTTGATAAAGTTAATACTCATCGATGGTTACGAGCATCTGGATTAAAGTCTGAAACTGAAGGCTTTATTCTTGCAGCGCAAGACCAGAGTCTTTTTCACTAGGGAATTTTCAGGCAAAATATCATACATAATAATGTGGATCCAAAATGCAGGTTCTGTGACAAATACCAAGAAACAATAGACCATCTAATCTCAGGATGTTCTATACTTGCCCCAAATGAATATAAAAATCGTCACGATAAGTGGGGCAATACTTACACTGGACAATGTGCAAACACTTTGGAAAATGTGTAAGCAAACACTGGTATGAACATCGGCCAGCGCCGGTTACAGAAATAGAAGATGTCACCATTCTATGGGATTATACCATCCACACAGACAGAAAAATTGAAGCACAAATAGGCCGGACATTATTGTCAAAAACCAGAAAGAAAAAACTTGCCTACTAATTGATGTAAAGCATCCAGCGGATTGTAACATAGCAACCAAGGAATTTGAAAAACTATCAAAATACAAAGACCTGGAAATTGAAATAGAAAAAAAATGTGGAAATTGAAAAAACAAGAATAATACCAGTGGTAATAGGTGCACTTGGAATTATAAAAAATGGAACAAAACAACACATTGAAAGAATCCTGAAACCCCAGCAAGAGACATACAGAAAATTGTCTTATTAAGTACAGCACACACACTAAGGAGAACTTTGTCTATGTAACGCTAGCAACTTCATCGGAGATAAAAAAAAAAAAAAAAAAAAAAAATTAACATGAAATGAAATATAACAACACACCACGACCTGCCTTAGGTCTTTCCGCAGACTTAGTGGTAGTGTGTCCATAACAGAAATAATAATAATAATGATAATAATAATATGAAAGAAAATAAGTTACTTTATTCAGTAACAAAGGAAACCAACAAGTTCAGAATAGAGTTTCAAGTGGTTGAAGAAATGCAAATAAAGCATAATGCACCGACTGAAACTGCAAAATAATTACAAAAGATAGCCAAATCAAATGCAACTAACTAGATACAAAAATGGCAAGATAAACTGCTTCAATACTCTACCCGTACTAAACAAGGTGATGCAGACAAACCTTGTCCCCATCAATGTTAAATAAATATATATATATATATATATATATATAATATATATATATATATATATATATATATACTGCATTTTTGATCTGAGCTGTACATGGAACCGGCCATTTTTCTATTATCTTTAGCGATTTATCGTATGTACAAATTTTATATGATGCCTGGGTTGAGTTTAAGTCCCCCAGACGGTCAAGGCATAGGGTCTCGCCGAGAAAAACACCCGTTTCGTGATATGAAAATTCATGGATTGATTGATGATGATAGAACATCACTAATTTAATTTTCGAGACATTGAATATAATCATTCAGTACCCTCGCTGTACATTGAGATTCTTAGCTATCTCAGAGGAGAGATCCGATGCCAATCTCTGGACATCTAGAGTGTTGGAGGGGCATTCATGTAACGTCGAATCATCAGTATAGATATTCGCTAATGATCGAAATATTACTCTTAGGCAGATCATTTATATAAAGTTCGACCGAGAATCGACCCTTGGGAGACGGCTGCGTTGATCGTTTTGGCCGCGGAGGACTGGTCGTTAGCAATTGCCCACAGTAGTTAGGAGGCGCTTTCAGAAGACTCCTCCAGTTATTTTATGCTCTGAAATATCGTGCAGTAACCATCTATTCCACACCTTATCAAGGGCATTGGACATATATAACGCGATAGTTCAGCAGTGGACCGAGCTGATCGAAATGTGTACTGTTTGTGGCTCATGAGATTGTCTCTATTGAGGTGATCAACAACATTATTATGTTTACAGGCTGGAAAAGTTTTCTAATGACACTGAGGAGGATAAGGAGTTCATACTGAGGTGGGATAAGCGCTTATCCGGGTTCTTGAATACAGAATGAATCGACCTCTTCCACAGACTCATTTCACTTTTAAGCAACATTTAAATAATTTCGGTAAAATCGGTTATAGCTATGAATTAATGTTCTTAAAGTAACCACTGGTCTTTTATCTGAACCGGTATCCTTCTTTGGGTCAAAACTTGATAACTTTTGTGATAAAAAAATTATTATTACTGAGATTAAGTTAATTGTTGATTTACAGGCAAATATCATGGGTCCTCGTTGTATACTTGTTAAGAAAGAAGCGAATATTTTACAATACGGATTTAAATCCTACACACTTTTACATTACAGAGTAGTTTTATGAGCTCGATCCTAAAATAAAATTATTCCATTACATATTTATGCAAGGAAAAGGACACGTCAAGATTAACATTATTATTGTTTCCATTAAAAATTAAAAACCTTTAATAATCAAAAAAGGAAAAGGCAGGAACCAGTATCCTTTACTGTGAAGGTGGACAGGAATATGTTTTTCGATGTTATGCAATAGAACTATTAGGCCACTTCTAACTATTACACCTTTCCTGTAACTGGCTTTTTTTATACGTAGGTTTTTTCTCGTATTTACTACAAATAAAATTTGTTTCCATTTCGCGTTAATACCATACATAATTACGATATGTTTTGTAGCAGGGTTTTTGAATGAGAGAGAGAATCACGCAACCCGATTTTCCAAAAATTACCGTGTAAAACATTTCGCTTATCGCACATCAATATCTAATAATTCCTGCTTTAAAAGTGCATATTTCACAGATCACGGTTACTATAGATGAAACATTACCACATTTGGAGTTAATTGCGTTACTAATTATCATAGTTTGTAGATGCGGTCTTGATTTATAAAGGAAGTAGGCCCATCGGCTATTAAACATGTCCAGGCAAATGCTTTCGGAGACTTCACACGATTTCTAATATTAATTACTTGCCTATAAGTGGATGATTCGTATCGCTTTTTTCTACAAATTAAACGTCGTCGCCAATTGGAGCTAATTCCATACCAAATTAATAATAATTTTGCTGCAGAGATTTTGCATGAGAAAATATGAAAGCTGGCACACTAAAATGCCGGTGCAGAAATTTTCGGATAATTCAAATAAACCAATCCTGGTGAAGGGTTTTAAAATAGAAAATATCTATATTGAAAATACATAACGTTCATTTACTGCACTTAGTTAATAGTTACTGTGCATTCTTAGCTTAAATAGCCGTGTATGCACGCACACACACAACACTATATATATATTATATATGCATATACACACAATATATATATATATATATATATATATATATATATATATATATATATTATATATATGTGTGTGTGTATGTGTGTATATGCATACACACACAATATATATATATATATATATATATATATATATATATATATATATATATATATATATATAGTAATGATAAAATATTGTAATCTGTATGGAATTTTCAGGGGCTATAGATACAGGCAGGCTCTATGTCAAAAGACAGAGCAAATTATCATTAATTAAAAAAACATATCAAACGCTTTAAAATCTCATAGGTAATAATATATAATTCATGAGAGATCTAAGAACTTGAAAATTGTGAGCTGCCTTTTAGAGTTCTCATGAAATAAAAATTATTGCCTATAGGATTTTAAAAATTTTTATATATATTTATATATATATATATATATATATATATATATATATATATATATATATATATATATATATATATATATATATATATATATATATATTAGTAGTAGTAGTAGTAGTAGTAGTAGTAGTAGTAATATTATAAAGAATAGTTCATGCAAAAATAAATCAGTAAAGTTAATTTATTGGTCGCGAATTCACAAGGTGGACAGATTTAAATGAATTAGATGTTCCGTGAATAAAATATAATATGCCTGATGATAATAGAATTATCAAAAAGTACTAGCATTGACGGGACATCTAATCCATTTTATAATTTTTTAAAACAAGGATCGCCTCATTCAGCGAGTGCTTATTAAGTTAATGATTTAATAAACCTGTTAGCGAAGTGAATTCGCCATTAATTACATTAACTTTACTGATTCACTGATTCATTTTATGTGGCTACTTTATAGTATATATAACATATACGATATATGTACGAAACATATACGATATATCTACATATATATATATATATATATATATATATATATATATATATATATATATATCACATACTCAATATATGTCTAAAAATATAATTTAAGAGCCCACATCCTCAAATGTATATAAATATGATAAATAAATAAAAAGTTAAGCTATGTTGAACTGTTGGGCACATATGTACCACACAGTCACGTAGGCTAACTTGTCATTTAATAAAAAAATAGTGCAATTCGTGCTTATGTAGATGAACATAAGACAAATAGGTAAAAGTATATATATATATATATATATATATATATATATATATATATATATATATATATATGGGGAGAGAGATATTCGAACAGGCCTCATTTTTGAGCAACAACCGTACAATAGATAAACATAAATAATTCGTCATTGTATTCAGTGACTGTTTATCTGACTTTATCTTTCCTTAGGAAATTAAAAGATTCCGCAACTGCAGCCAAAGATTCTTTGTTCCATAGACACTGTCCGTTATGATAAGCGCTTCATGACCAGTATAAAATTATCATTTGTATGTATTAGTTTAAATCCAGTGAAAAACTCTTAGTGATAACTTTGACATCTAAAGACCTGTATATCCTTATCTTTGTGAATATGTATAAATTAATAAAGCTGAAACCAGACGACGATGTGCACGATACAGATTTACACGTCAGTTAAACTTACATTACCCAAGCAATAACAACGATAGGTAGCAGACAGATATGAGTAATATACAAGAGAGAATGAAAAAGTCTTATTTAAGTACGCGAAAAAGTGAGTGAGAAAGATAGATAGATAGATAGATAGATAGATAGATAGATAGATAGATAGAGAAAACATGGCATAAGGAGAGAGACGGGGAGGGAGATAAAAGGAAAGAAAGATGAGATAAAGGAAGAAAGAATAGAATAATAAAAAAAAATTAAAAATTAAAATTATAATAAAATATTATAATAATATATATTATAATAATAATATTATAATATCAGATACCTTATTGCATTTAAATAGCCGAATGTTAGGCAAAACGAAAAGTAAATTAATAGATTAATATACAAAAAAAATGAAATAAAATGTTCAAAGTTTATTTTACTGATTCAGAGATTAACTCTCTCGACAGCTTATGAGTGGACACTATCTGTAAATGTCTGAGCCAAGTGAGCTAAGTTTTGAGCATTTTTTTATCAAGTCTATGTTTTCCTAATATTCAACTACTTCAGCCAACCTTCCGAAGCCACGTCTACCTTTTTCAGTACCTAAATGAGTGACTGCTTCCGTGAACCAGATGCTGTAAGCTTCAATTTTGCAGATGGTATAATAGATAATGGCTCGGAATTGTTAATCAGAGCCGAGTTCCATTAGGTTCCTTTAGTCCGCTTACTCTTGGGGAAGGTATGGATCCACCATTGTTCTCCCAACCACTGCACTGTGTTTTACGTACCACTGAATGTAGAGGGTTATTGAATGAAGTTTTTACCTAAACAGTGAACCACTTGAGAATGCCAGTTGCTCTAAGCTTGGATGTGCGGGTGGTGTAATGGATAATGGCTCGGAATTGTTAATCGAGAGCTGAGTTCAGTTGGGTTCTTTATATTCACTTATGCGCAAATACCCTTAGAAAAATGATGAACCCATCTATTATTGTGTTGTAAGCTTGGATGTGCAGGTGGTGTAATGGATAATGCCTCGGAATTGTTAATCAGAGAGCCGAGTTCAATTGGGTACGTTATATTCACTTAGGTTCAAATAGCCTTCGAAATGGTATGAATCCACGTTCCCCACGTCCTCAATAAGACTTGTATTACTAAATCATTATTATCTCAAAAAAAAATACAAATTTTGTACAAAATATTCAATTATCGGCATTATATACCCCAAAAGAGGTGTTGAGATGCCGCTAAACAAAAAACAATCAAGCCAATCAAACCTAATATTCAGTACGTTATTTACAAAGACTGCTTGCTCTAAAAGATATTCTTCAAAATACAATGATCAACCACGTTTCTTGGCAAAGAGTTTCTTTTTTTGTACCAGTTTGGGGTCGTTAATGATAATGTACAATTCAGGACTTATATAGTTAAATAAAACAGTATTTAATTACAACTGCAAATAAATACGTAGTAACAACCAAAAGTAAGAATCAATCAAAACTTTTGGTGAATACTTTAGTAGCGGCTTTGCTTAACGACCGATGGTCATTCAATGATGAACCAGTCAGCAACACTCGTACTCAACGAATCATCGACTGCTGTCCGACCAATACCAATAATCAACTGCAGTCCTTCCGAGACCCTCACCACCTCCGCCAGGTCAGGTCGTGACACAAGGTAGTTTTTAACGTGGGGACCCGGGTGTTTCCACTCGGGCCGCTGGTCTAGCTATTCTTAGCTGGTCATAGCTCATGTAAACTGGCAATAGCCGGTTATACTACCGCTACGTAACAGATATCACGCAAAACGGGGAAACCTCCGGCACGGAACAGATACTACAGCTGCAGAATCCATCCCGACAGGAAAACCCACTTCTCTTCTGTCAATCCTCTCGGAAGAATCCGGAAAGAGCCCCTAGTCAACTTTAGTCCACCCCAGTAAAAGCCTGATACTGCTATTTATACGCTTTGCAGAAAACATATTCTAAGTCAGAATGTTACGTTCGAAACTCGGTTTTCTTCAGCTAATATTTTCTTCCGATATGACAATTTTATCATACCAAAAAAAACAAAACAAACAGGAAATTTTAGATTTACTATATATGATGAAAAAATAATAACATATAAAAATAACTATATATTTTACTATATGAATGAACTAAAAAAAATAGCTAAGATTTTTTTTTTCTAACCATGTTTTGTTCCAAGATGACGTACTTATCAAATGTTCAACATGAGGTGATTGTTCTCTTTAAGAAAGAACATACAATTTGGGGAGTGAAAAATATCAAGAAATTCTGCCAGTACTTTAGTTCGATTATTGCAGTTATTTCAAATAACTGTATCAAAATTGCAACTATTAAATAAAATGTATCAGATTTCCTGTTTTTTTCTTTTGTGAGGCACTTTTGTATTCATAAAATATTATGCAAATTGTCCATCTGGGAAGTTCTGGTACTTTCACAATATAGATGGGTAAAGGGCAAATCTTTTTCTACCGTTTTGCTAGTTGTTTTTTGGCCAAAACCAAACTTCTTGTCAGTCGTTGGATCTGACTGTTTTGAAACCAAATTGCATAAGTATGTGTTTAGCAAGTCTGAACCAGTTTGAATGGTCCTGAGAACTTTACAGGCAGCTGTTTACCTGCGATTATGAGATATATCCCAAAGCATTGAGCGTGATTTCCAAATTCAGCGGAGATTTGGGAAATAGTTCTAAAGTCGATTATGCTTAATGAGTAAAGGAAGACAATCGGAAACCGCTTAATTCAGCGCAAGCAAACCTTACAGCAAATCCGACGTCACGTCTGATAAAGTTAATAAACAAAAATCTTGTCCAACTCAGGAAAAAGAGTTCCTTTACGATATTTAGTGAAAATTCAGGACTGGACACGCGTACTGCCGTATTAAAAAATCAGGTGGACATTGCCAAGGTGATATGTGAAGATAAACTGATTTTGGTGGTCAAATGTCTTCCTGAGAGAGAAAAGCAATATGTATTCTGTTATATACAGAAATGTGGCAGAAGGCCGTAGTGGGGGATTGGGGAAAAGGACGGTCTTCTTCTGTCTTAACTATAACAGCTAGCCGAAAAATGACCCAATCATACAAACAATATTCCTTACACCAAAACAACACATTCATACGTACCTTTTTTTACTATATTTCACCATAATACCTCACTGTCACTATGAAAATACTAACTAGTCCCTAAATTTAAATTCATTGTCTGTGGGAGGAAAATAAATGAAAATGAGAGGAAAACCAACTGACAATTCATAATGCGAGGTTAAGTCATAAATAATCTCCGTTTTAGGGTGAGGGTACCAATTTGAATAATTTGAAAAATGAATTTGAGAAACAGAAACGGAAATTATTATGACTCAGTTTTAAATTATATCTCAAATACGAAAATAAATTTAACAAAGTTAACTTACAAGTACAGTAAAACAACAGAATACAGTTTTGGAAAAGCATGATGATATTTCAGACAACTCAGGGATTCCAGTGCAGCAACTTCAAGTGAATATTCTCAGCTCTTCCATTACTACTTTCATATATTTATACACACACACACACACACACATATATATATATATATATATATATATATATATATATATATATATATATATATTGTTACTTATTACAAAAAGGAAAAGGAAATCATATTATAATACAGATGATAGTATTTTCATTTTTTTTTTAAGCGTAGCCTCAATTATTACCTCATTATGTTTGACAAAACCTTCCCAGAAATAGAAATAAAGAAAGTTCTCCTCATGTTTGAAATGGGTTTACGTGACTAATTACTCAGTTAATAATGAGGGCTAATTACACAAGATTCCGAAACAATTATTTAATTTTCTTTCCAACATTATTCGGAGGGGCTGATGTGAGCTTTATTAACATTGTAACCAATTGTCTTGTGTTTTCCTTTCTTTTCTTCTTTCTTTCCTGATAAGCTATTAATGCAAAAAGGGTTTAAGTTGTTAATTTAAGTATATTGCAAATCTACTTTTAAAAAAGTTAGCAATATTTTTATTTTTTTTTGTTTTTTTTTTTTTTTAAGTGATTAATTTACTTCATAACTTTCCCTGAAATTATGTATATGAATCATTGCTTTCTCTTATACTTAACAAATATAAATCGAAATCTTAGCTTTTGGTCGAATTAACATAAAATAATTATATAAAAAATGATTATTATATATAAGTCGATATTATAATATTTTTCTGATATAGGTAAAGTTTACATATTTTTAAAAAAAAATATTTAAAAATTTTAATTATATATTAAATTTAAAAATTTCCAAATGGTTTTTTTAATCCCTTTCCTTTTTCCTTTTTTTTTTTGGGTTTGCAAACCCCAAAATCATCGTTTCCCCCCCACTTTTTTTTCCCGGGGAAAAATTTTTTTTTTTTTCCTTTTTGGATACCCCTTTAAAACCCCCCCAATTCCCTTTTTTTTTTTGGCCCAAGAAAACCCCAACAATTTCCCCCTTTTGGGGGAAAAAAAAAAAAAACCCCCCCCCCCCCCCCCCCCCCCCCCCCCCCCCCCCCCCCCCCCCCCCCCCCCCCCCCCCCCCCCCCCCCCCCCCCCCCCCCCCCCCCCCCCCCCCCCCCCCCCCCCCCCCCCCCCCCCCCCCCCCCCCCCCCCCCCCCCCCCCCCCCCCCCCCCCCCCCTTTTTTTTTTTTTTTTTTTTTTTTTTTTTTTTTTTTTTTTTTTTTTTTTTTTTTTTTTTTTTTTTTTTTTTTTTTTTTTTTTTTTTTTTTTTTTTTTTTTTTTTTTTTTTTTTTTTTTTTTTTTTTTTTTTTTTTTTTTTTTTTTTTTTTTTTTTTTTTTTTTTTTTTTTTTTTTTTTTTTTTTTTTTTTTTTTTTTTTTTTTTTTTTTTTTTTTTTTTTTTTTTTTTTTTTTTTTTTTTTTTTTTTTTTTTTTTTTTTTTTTTTTTTTTTTTTTTTTTTTTTTTTTTTTTAAAAAAATTTTTTTTTTTTTGAAACCCCCAATTTTCCTTTTTTAATTTAGAATTAACTAATAATTTTTTAAAAGGTTTGGGGCCCAAAATTCGGTTCCGGGGGGGGTTTACCCCAAAACAAAAAAAATTTCTTAAATTTTTTTAGGGGGGTTAAAGTATTTCCCAAAGCGTATTCAAATATTGATTTTGATAATCTGAGTTTTTGGGGTGGATCTG